TGATCTTCAGAAATCATTCTAATATGCTGATTTATTATTAGAATTATCAACAGTTGTGCAGCCAAATATTTTTAAGTTACGCCTTCTTTCTTTGCGTGAACGTTTGGGCGGCGTTATGCAAATCTTCTCACATCGTGACGTAGACATGTGGGGTGTGTTAGAACGAGCCGTTTTAGGTAGGCGTGGTTGACTCTTAACTTTTATAAAGAATATCTCTTTGGATTTGAGACTTTAGTCTTTGCAACTTTACAGATCTTCTTTATGCACCAAGAGCTTGTAACACTCCAAAGAGAAAGGAAAAATTGAAATCGCATCATATGACCCCTTTAAGGAAGTGTTATGTAGTTTATGTTCTGAATGTTTGGACATACAGCTGAGCCCCAAACGCAAATCTCTTGCCTTATTGTGCTCCAGGTATCTTCCCCCAGAATGCTTTGTGGTTGGAAAAGAGCCACCTAAGATCTCCAACAAAGTGGACGTTTGGTCTGTTGGAGTCATCTTTTACCAGTGCCTCTATGGGAAGAAGGTAAAAGACACAAAACTTAGCTAATAAAAATCACCAATTAAGTGAATGAAACTGATACAAAACAGAAATGACTGAGGAGTATCTGGTTGGTGAGCTACTAATGGACATTGTGATGCAGGGATATTCAGTTCAGTGAACTGTCACCAAAAAATGTCTATGAATAATGCAATGCCATTACTTTGGTGATTGTTCACTGCTGCACATTTTAAAACCAACAAGGGTTAAGCAATATTATAATTATATTTACAGCCAGCATTTTCTTAAGTGCTACCCAAACTGTGCAATTTGAGCATCCCGGCTGTGGTGTATAATGTGATGCACAGCATTTAATAATGAGGTGCAAGAGCCAAACACTATATGATATAGGGCTGCACAATGAATCGAATTTCTAATCGCGATTACAATTATGGATGCCACAATTACGTAATCGTTCAAAGCGGCAATTCATCGTTCAAACTCCACTTATGTTATTCTGCGTGCTTAAGATGTGTTTTTTTCTTTCTACATGTTATCTTAAGGGTTTTTCCCTTTTAGTATAACATTATAATACCATTCATATTTTTAACTTTTTTATAATTTAAGGAAGAAACCAATCCGATGTATAGTTGACATTTGAGGCTTAATACTATAGAAAAGCACTAAAAGAGTGTTTTCAGCTTGTTTATTTTCATATAAAAATACGGCATGCAGTTGCTTCAAACAATGGTATAAACATCATTCAATGTAAATTGTGATAATCGCAATTACAATTTCAAGGGAATAATCGACAGTTATGATTTTTGTCATAATCGTGCAGCCCTAGGACAGATGTTAGTACCTTTCTTTCCTCATCTTTTTAAAATTTTTTCTTCACCCCACAGCCGTTCGGTCATAATCAATCCCAGCAGGACATCCTCCAGGAGAACACTATTCTCAAAGCCACAGAGGTGCAGTTTCCTCCTAAACCAGGAGTCTCGCCTGAGGCTAAGGTACTTCTTCAGACGGTTAAAAAAAAAATTTCTTTTTTTTTTCTTTCATGGTGTGATCTCAGAGCAGAGAGGTTTAGTCTCAGGATTGTTGAAGTATCATGAAACAAGGGTTACTGGGGTCCCAGCACTCCTTTATACATTGCCCCATGAGCAAATCTCTAGAGTGTTAGAACTTTTTCAAATTTTTTTCTCTTCCACATTTGACTATAAATTATAAATCCTCCCCAGTTGTTTAAATGGACATTTATTCATATTTATTGGAATAGTTTCATTTCACGTTTATTTGTATAACGCTTTTCACGATACATATTGTTGCAAAGCAGCTTCAGAGAAAATGAAAGTTTCTACATTGCATTAGTAATTACATTACAATAGTAACATTTTAATTACACTACCATACAGATGTTTGTGGTCAGTAAAATATAAATATTTTTTTAAAGAAATCAATGCTTTTATTCAGCGAAGATTAATTAAATTGATCAAAAGTGACCAGTAGAGACATTTATAATGCTAAAAAAAAAATTATTTGAAAAATGAATGCTGTTCTTCTGAACTTTTTCAACAGAACTCTGAAAAAAAAATCTGTAAAAAACAGTATCACTGTTTCCACAAAAATATTAAACCGCACAACTGTTTTTAACATTGATGATGAGAAATGTTTGTTGAGCAGCAAATCAGCATATTAGAATGATTTCTGAAAGATCATGTGACACTGAAGACTGGAGTAATGATGCTGAAAATTCAGCTTTGCCATCACAGGAATAAATTACGTTTTTATAAAATACTGAAATTTAAATCAGTTAAAATTGTAATAATATTTCACTATTCACTTTCATTATTTTACTGTATTTTAAAACAAATGCAGACTTGCAGTGCATAAGAGACTTTAAAAAGAGCATTGAGGGGAAAACAGTCAGAGTAATAATTAGGGCTGCAGCTGATTTTAATAATTGGTCAATTATTTTGATTATTATGTGAAATGTAATTGTATTTCTGATAGAAAATTTTTAAAAAATGCATGTCTTGCTCAGTGTTTTTCTCTTGCCTTCTGTTGCTCTGTTTGTCCTCTCTCTTGCTCAACACCAAATGCTGTGGTCACTTTAGTGGCACAAGGAAGGTTGTGGGATTCTGTCATGAATGGGGTTTTGTGTTGCTAGGAGACTTGTCATAACAATGACTATTCGCATAGTGAGTCAGATTGGCTAATATTTGCTCATGTCTCTGGAACTGTAATGTTTATTGTCTGCCTCCTTTTATTTAAAATGTAGATTCTGTATGATTTTTAGATTAATCGCACAAACCTGCCTTCAGCTAAACTACTTCCATGCATGGCTGTTGATGCTTTTCTACTTGAACATGTTATGAGAAACTGAACACTTTCTAATGAATTTCTTGTCTACTTCAGGCCTTCATTCGCAGATGTTTGGTGTACCGTAAGGAGGATCGCATCGATGTTCACCAGCTGGCCAGTGATCCCTACCTCCTCCCGCACATACGCAAGTCAGTGGCTGCCACCGGTAACTCCAGCACGGCCGTCGCCTCCACCTCCAGCTCCTCCAACAGCAGCGCCTCAAATTGAGAGCTCCGTCCATCCTTGATAGTTTTGACCGGAGCAGGCGGTGTGGGGCGTTTGCATTTTGCCCCGCCCCTCTCTGCAGTGCACTGGAAGGGGTCTCAAACCCCTTACCTGCCAAGCAAGGGAGCAGGAGGAAAAGGGTAAGAGCGGGATGGAGACAAAACACATTCCCTTCCACCCTTCTTCCTCTCCCAGGCACCTGGAGGCTTGATATGTTTTATTTTATTTTTTGGATGGGAGGGGACTAAAAAGCGCCCCATGAGTGAGCCAGAGCGAGAGGGAGTATTACCTGTGAGAAGGACTGAACTGCAACGGCTCAGACTGGTGGAAGAGACTGGTATATGCCCTGCACCCCACAACACACAAACACATGCACACACACATATAAACACACATTTATAACGAGGTCAGCTTGATTTTTCTTACATGGTAACACCGTTGATGGGACAAGCCCACTCATACTAATGTGCATTCAAGTGTACAATATTCCTAAAGAATCTGGAGATGCTCCATGCTGACACAAAGCCCGTCCCGGCCCATCTTCCTCTCTCTCTTTCCCCTATCCTTTTTTTTTTTGCCTCTGGAACGGATCTATGAACTTTTGGAAGCAATACTGTCAGTGGGTTCATTTCGACAATAGTTAACCCTAGTTTAAACACCCTTCTGAACTGCCGTCAGATCACATAATAATTGCTGAGGCCAAATCAGCATCAGGACCTCTAGGTTAGCTGATCTTCTATGCTGGGAATCAGATGTTTGTACTGTGCGAGAGATGTAATGGACAGGTTTAGCCCAGATGTTTGTCTCTGGAGGTGTTTGTCTTTATGTCCTGCTCACTTTCAACCCATTCTGTGACCAAAGCTGAGCTCTACCAGTAGGTGGTGCTGTTTGACTTGAGTGTTTTTATTTTATTTTATTATTATTAAATTTTTTTTTTGCTTTATGCTATGAATTATTTTTATTTTATTTTTTTTTTGATTTAGCGACACTAACTGATCCCCCGTCCCCCAAGTATGTTCTTGTTTCTCATCCTGTCTTTGGACAGAATCTAATGTTGAAAAAGGAGATGAACTTAGATTTTTTTTTTCATTGATTAAAAGTCTTGTGCCTCACATAAAACCAAACAGACACCCATATGTTCAAAAATTACACAGTCATATATGTTTAGGTCTGGTGATGCAGCTAATTGCCTGATCCGGTTTTACTGTTTGTGCGAAAGAGGGGACCGAGCTAGTTCAGGGGTACAGGGCAGAACTTGGAGCGATCATTAAATGCTATTGGTTATTAATACTTTGTGTTGTCTGCATTACTTTATTCTTTTTTATTTAATTTTTACACAACTGTGGAACAAAAAAGAACTCTCATTTACATCTTAAGCAGCCTTCCAGTCTCTGCGACTCACCATTTGGGGATTGTTTTGGACAAACAAGGCATGCAGCAGCTAGAACCTGTGATTGCTTTAGAAAAAGGAGATGAACTTAGATTTTATTTTTCATTGATTAAAAGTCTTGTGCCTCACATAAAACCAAACAGACACACATATGTTCAAAAATTACACAGTCATATATGTTTAGGTCTGGTGATGCAGCTAATTGCCTGATCCGGTTTTACTGTTTGTGCGAAAGAGGGGACCGAGCTAGTTCAGGGGTACAGGGCAGAACTTGGAGCGATCATTAAATGCTATTGGTTATTAATACTTTGTGTTGTCTGCTTTATTTGTCTTCTATATCGCTTGATGTTTACAGATGCTGTCTAAAAGATTTAAATTAGCCATTTTTACTGAATTATAAAAATAAAGCGAAATGGAAATATAAATATAAAAAAATTACATACATTTTAACTTTAAAATAAAAATATCAAAATAAAAGCTAATTCAAAATATTAGTAAATACTCTAGTAGTATATAAATAATACTATAAAATAAGTTAATTCAGTAATTAAGTAAATATGAATCAATACTATAATAGTTTATAAATTATACCGAAATAACAGTGCACTGGATCAGATGTTTTACTTAATAGTAGTTAGTTTGGCATTGGTTAATTTTTGTTTTTTAGTAAGAATGATCATTTTATCAAAAGACATTATAGTTGTGTATTTCAGTAAATTTAATCAGTCTCCCAAATAAATTAAGGTGTCCATTATTAAACGTACATCAGGTCTGTATCGCAGACCTAAAAATGCAAAACCGTACTGTTTTCACGTTACAGTACTTGCACATAAACAAAACCAATTTTTTAAGTTGATTATACACATTCGTTCAGTGGGCGGGATGTACCTGTATACAGGACTGCAGTTATCCAGGTTGCATCTCACCTCAGCGTATCGGTGTCTGTTTTCCTTCCAACTCCTCAGCAAAGCTGGATTTGCAGTATTTATCAGTAGTTCGCCAAGATGTACAACTGCTCCCACTGTGTAACCTTTGCAGAATAACTGCATTGAAGTCAAATTCAATGTGAAAGCTGCTGGAGTAATGTTGGAAAGGCAAGGCATTAGACTTACAGCCTGTGGATTTTGATGGTTGAAGTTGAAGTGTGTATTTGTTTTGTATGCAGTGCTTGGGAATGGGTTGTGAAATCTCTAAAAACCCTTTAATTTTCTATTCAGATAGTTTGGATGGGTGCTGGATGAATCATTGACCTATTCAGTCTGAAGCCGAGCCAAATGCTTTTTTACCATTTAAAAATGTTCAACAGCTGTTTGACTTCATGGTCAAAATCAATTACAGCGATTATAATTATTTGGAACCTGTCTACTTGAACAGTCACTGAATAGTCACCCACAATCTGCAAAGACCCTAATAAATATGCATTTTATATATGTGTGTATATGTATGTATATGTAGTGGAACAAAAAAGAACTCTCATTTACATCTTAAGCAGCCTTCCAGTCTCTGCGACTCACCATTTGGGGATTGTTTTGGACAAACAAGGCATGCAGCAGCTAGAACCTGTGGGTGATTGCTTTACCAAACCAGGCCTGTCTAACTATTCCGACCCATCTACTCCACCCACTTATTTAATCTGGCCTAGTGATCTCATTCGTGAACCTGTCCTGGATTGCCAAGCAGTACAAAGGAGTGTCAAAAACATCCACAGCTTGAATTAAAGTATTCTCCTGTCATATCTCAGGTTGCCTCACAAAGGTCATCCAACTTAATTATGTTTCTACTGGCAATAAGTACACTGTCAGAAAAAGGCATAAAAGCTGTCACTGCGCGGTACCTTTTCAAAAGGTACCCATTAGTACCTTAATTACCTTTAAAGGGTGCATATTACTACCTTTAAGTTAGTTTTGAGAAGTTACTGTGACAGCTTTTGTACCATTTTTTTCTGAGTGTAAGAAACAGAAGATGCCAATAGTACATGAAAAGTGCTTTCAGCATGTGCTTCCCTGTTTGAACCGCTTTTCTGTAAGCTTTCAAAAACTGAAGTCCATAGAATTCTAATTCACTTTCACTTAATTTGAATTTTTGAAATCTGAAAATTAAAGCTACTAGAACTAATGGAGCAAAGACAAATGACTGAATGAATGTGGTCACAGTGACTTTAAAGCATTAGAGGATTTATTTTTTTCGGTAGGATGCAGTTAAGTGCTCTCAGATGAGATGAGTTTTCAGCTCTCTCTTGAATGTTGTCTCAGGGATTCGGCATACCAGATGGGGTTGGGAAGATCATTCCACCAGCAAGGAACGGTGAACAAAAATTTTCTGGAAAGTGATTTTGTGTCTCTCACTTACCCACCTCAGGTATCTGGAGGGGATGTATAGTCTCGTAAAAAAAAAGTGCGAGGAGGGTGTAGAGCCCGTGGCTGTTCTGTGTGCAATCTACATCACCTAAAATTATGATTTTTGACCAGTGTTGCCTCAGGTCTTGAGCTTTCTAACTAAAATAACAACATAATCTATTGAATTGCTATTCAGTTTATTGTACTGAAATCTTATATAAGTTTTAGTGACCAAAAATGTAATGTTCATCATATATATATATATAGCCTATATATACTTTTAAATAAAGAAATATTTAGTTTGACCTCCTGAGGTTAAGCACTTCCTTTCACTAACCATTTGTTGACAATTTGGCTTTCAGGCCTTAGGTTGTACCCTATTGGTGTAGTAGTCATTTTTATTTGAATGTATATGAAAACTGTTGGTCTGTAATACATTGTTTGTGTTATTAGTCTAACTTCATGTGCAGAAAATAGGCAATATTTGCTTGATCTACGCTGTTTCTTTAGCTTATTAGGCTACTAGTGCTGAATGTGAGCAAATATTCACAAAGAATGAACAATGTCGTGATATTCTCTTTCTATGGAAAGCCGTTGTAACATTTAATCTCAATAGAGGTGACTCGATGACCAACAAACACATTAGGCTACTATGTTTACGAAATTACAGTGTTTACAAAACTGACAAAAATATGTTTTCTATGTGCTTGTGTACAAATAATTGTTTCTTTTCTATGTGGTTTCCTCAAAAAAGTACATCCATCTTCTTGTTTCTGTTTCCTGTCTAATCTCTCTCCTATATGTGCCGGCTCATTAATATTCAACATACGATTACCATACTGGGCAGAAATGCTAATTTAAAAAGTACTAGTATCTATTAAGTTCAGGATATCTCTGGTCTAAAAAGTTACTAGTAACTAAAAAATAAGTACTAGTTCTATTTTTTCTTAACAAGAAGAGTATAATTAAATACTAGTGACTATTGGAATAAGTACTAGTATCTAATGATTAAGTACTAGTACCTGATGAATAAGTACTAGTACTTAATGGAAAAGATACTAGTTTCTAAAAAATAGGTACTAGTACCATGAAAATAGATACTAGTACGGCTTATAGATTAAATGTTACAACGGCTTGCCATACTCTTTCCTCAGAGCAAAGTGTTGAGAACTTTTGGTAAATTCTCAGTCCTGGACACTTGTCCCGGGTATCGGGTAGTCATTCAAACTTCCTTCTCCGCCTTCTTCTGCTGCTTCACTTTCCTGGGACGTGTGCGTGTGTGCGGTGAAAGTGAACGGTCTGCCCCTCTCATTCACTCTGAACTCATCACAGTCCACGCACACAGCGACACTGACACTCTCAAAGCCTGTCTGCTCTTTACCGTTCCTGCTTCTCTTTCAGCGGGAACGAGGACAATCATCCGTTTTACCTTTCCGCGGGCATGCATCAGCACGGTGGAGGGCACCGGGAGGGCTGTTGGAGTCGCGCGTGGATAAATGTTTGCAGATGCACTTTATATTTATTTCTACTATTAAGCCTGGAGCGGAGCACCGTGCACGCAGGTAGGAAACATTTGCGTTTCATTATCACTTTTTTCGTTATGCCTTTTTCTGACTGCTTTAATGTTGTCATGATTATAGACGTGCTGTGTGATTTAAACATAATAGGCCACTAATAATGTGAGGCTTGGTTTTATTTGGGGTGCTGCTGTTGTGTTGGCTCCGGCTGCACTGATGTGAAGGAATGCCACGAAAGTCTAAACTCTGAGTGGAACCAGATGTGAGAACAAGAGGAAGAGGGACCGGGGGAGGGGAGTGCGAGCGCTGGTGCTGGGGCTATTGATTAATTCAAGTGGCTCGGATCATTTGAATCGATTCACTAAGAATTCACTTTAGATTCTGCAGGTTATGTAGTTACGCCAGTAGGGGGCGACATGCGAATGTCCTTTTGTTGTGGATGTTTATGAGTCATTGAATCGGTTACTTGAATGATTCGTTATAAACAGGTTGTTAAAAAGACGAAACTCTGTCAAAAATGGTGTTTAAACACAAGAATATGCACAATTGACAAAAAAGCAAAGCCTAGGCTATATGAAAAATTTCTATCATTTTGTCAGCAGTGTCAGCTGCATATTTTCTTTTATATCAAACTAGTACACTGTTCATTCCTTGGTTCATTTTCTTCACAAATAAGTGTCTTGCTATCCCAATTGCTGCTTCTCCTTCATTGAGTACAGTAAGTCCAACAAATGATATGCTTATTTCGCACTCTTTAACTATATTTGCTCATACTGTATTCAGAGGCTGAATGCAGAAAAGGACTCGCTTCAAAATGGAGAGTCTGCGAACTAGTCGGTGTATGAAAGTAAGGAGACTGATTTGTTCATTTAAAAGATTCATTCGGAAAACTCGTCCACAGACGCTGTACCATCAGCACAGCTTTTATGTTTTATAGCTTAACTTTAGTGGACGAGGGGACATTTTTCGTTATGCTTGTTTACAGAAGCATGTTCTTGGTTTCTCGCTGCTCTGCTAACCTGTGTTCTCGAGCGCTTGATTCTCACCCCGTAAGCAGATGAGCCCTGAATATATCCGGTTACACAATAACGAGCCGCAGCTGAGGGCTGTCTACGTCTCGGTGGTCTTATTTTTTAGTGCTTCTCTCAACTTCACAGTCCAGCAGAGACAGTATAGGTTTTTGCACCTCTGTGTCAGATACGGTCACAACCTTATTAAAAAGAAAGTGTAGAAGAACAGAGCTGTAGGCCTAGTTGAACAAGCTAAAAACAAATTTTTAGCATGAGAAGATGCAAGTTTTTTTCTCTCTCTGCCCTAAAGTGGTTTTGTTGGCCAGTGTCACCTACACAACAGCTTAATCTATTGAATTGTTAATAATTAAATAGTTTTAATGACTAAAAGATTGATATTTTCATAATCGAAATGTTGTATTTTTATATAATATTTAATGCAATGCTCAATTTGGAATCTGGTTACCCAGTCTGCAATTAACTTTTTTCTATAAATTTTGGCATTTAAAACGTTTTAATTGCCATGCACATTTTGGTAACATAGAAATTAAATAAAATTACAATCAAGCACCTCTTTATACTGACCATTCAATGCTTCAGATGTATTTGTTTCTGATAGCAGCTGTAACTTATATATTTTTATATATACATCATTTTTGGGTCATTGACACTTGGTTTAATATTTGGAATGTATTGTTGTTGTAATAGCATTATTTTTTGCATCGTTTTAGCTTTGTCTCTAGCTCTTTTTTTATTGATGATGCTTTTTAAAATTTTGTGTATCATAAACACGCCAGTACAGTAAAAAACTGGTAGCAGACCCTTATATTAGATCTGTTTCTATCTCAGTTGGGGTTGGTTCTCAGGTCACAACTCTGGCTAGGTTAAGGGCTCAGTAACAGGAGCCGAGAAACAAATACCAGCCAGAATTTCCTGTGTGTTGGTCAATCTCTCTGTTTACAGAATAAAAGGATCATCTACACAAAACCCTGACCTCTCTCTGCATGCTTCCTTTTGCTCCCTCACTCCTTTTTTTCCTCCGTCTCCCAGCTGGCTTGTTACCCTTCTCCCCCTAACTCCATCTCTCTCACTCTCTCTCTCTCCCTCTCATATCCCTTACTCATTACCCTCCTCCAAAAAAGGGAAGGGAGAAACAAAAATACATCTGTCGTAATAATAAACGTTTAGCTTTGGTAGCTTAGAATGAGAGTTCAGGAAAACCACATACCACCACATGACTAAGCTCACACACCCTTTCATGGAGTTGAGCCCACCCCCTCCCCCCCACCGAGCGCCTGTTTCTTCTGCCTTTTCCATTTTCTGGTATCCTTTGTATTTTTCATGGGGATTTACACCCCAAATTCCAAAGCTTTCGACTAGTTTCTAATACGTTGGTAATAGTAGATTTGAAAAACGTACAGAGGTACACTCTTACAAATAAGAGTTCCAAAAGGTTTTTTTTGCAGTGATCCCAGAAGAACCTTTTTTTTGTACTTTGTGTGAAGAATCTAAAGAACTTTTTTTTCTTCCACCTAAAGAACCTTTTTGTGCAATGCAGAGGTTCTATTGATGTTGAAGGTTCTTCGTGGAACCATAGATGTCTAATAAAGGACCTTTGTTTTTTAAAGTTTTAAATCACTGTTTTATCAAAATAAGTTTTGTCTGTAAAATAGACAAACTGACTGATAAGTTAACCATGTCTGTCACGAAGTCACTGGCCATGCCAGATCCTGCAGCTCCACCCACTCGTTCACAATCCCCAGAATTCTGATTCACCGCACCTGCCTGCACTCATAAAGTCACCCTTCAAAACCAATCAAAGAGCACTCCGCCATTGTCTGGTCTTGTTGTTGTCTGTACGCAACTTACCTGGCTACCTACCTGCTTTACTTACCTGCTTCGATCTGCCATCCGTCAGTCTTCATCTTCCCGCTGTGCCTTCTCCGCTGTGGACTCACATGACCTTGCAAATACTCACCAGTTTGTCAGCTAAGTCTGCATTGCTCATCTGTTTGACACATTTCTACTCGCCTTGTCAATAAATACCTTATCTGTGGAAGTTTCCATGTTGTCTCCTTCTGTTTTGTTAACAGAAGACCAGAACACGCCATGCAATGACAAACAGAACCTCAACCGAATCCAAACCCGGATCCATTTGCAGAACTTGTTTAAACCAACTGTCAATCACTATTATCTCTCACCTTTCCTTCACTAGCTGCCTCTGCCAGTCCCATGGCCCGTCATGCAGCGGGTTTCTGCTTCAGTGTTCACTATTCTTTGAAATGCAGCCCCAATTGTTTGCTAACAACCGGTTCAAGATTGCCTACATCATCTCACTCCTGTTGGGACGAGCCCTTCAATGGGTGAACGCAATATGGAATGCCAACAGCCCAGTAACTAACACTATCACGGCATTTATTACCCAATTCAAGGAGGTCTTTGGTCAAACAGCGACCACGTTATCAGTGCACGACCAACTCTTCTGGCTTCGCCCAGGCAGTTCTTCTGTGAGTGAATACGTGCTCCAATTTCGCACACTGGCAGCCATCAGTGGCTGGAATGAAACCGCACTAATAACCGCTTTTCGACAGGGGCTCAATAATAACATTTGTCTTCAGATGGCCATCTATGATGATGTCGTGGGGCTGGATAACTTTATCCAGAGGGCCATCTGCATCTCCCAGCGCATGTCAGCATGTGAATTGGACCAATCCGCTGCATTTCCTCCATCCACCATTCACCTGTCGCCCCTCCAGCACCAGAGCCCATACAGGTCGATACTTATCACCTGACCTGTGCAAGGAGGAGGATCGTCAACTGTCTGTGTTTATACTATGGTGCAAGAGGTCATCTGTTATCATCTTGTCCAGTCCATCCACCAAGCCCATCCACGCTTCCAGCTTCTTCTTCGTCAGTAAAAAAAAATGGAGGCTTGTGGCCCTGCATTGATTACCATGTGTTGAACTCTCAGACCATCAAATACCACTTCCTCTGGTCCCTGCCGCCCTTGAGCAGCTGCGTGGTGCCCGCATCTTCTCCAAGCTGGACCTGCGTAGTGCGTGTAACCTCATTCAGATCTGTGAGGTTGGTGAATGGAAGACTGCCTTTATCACGCCAGCCACTATGAATACCAGGTGATGCCGTATGTCCTTTCCAACTCACCCTCCGTGTTTCAGGGAATCATGAATGGTGTTCCTCCATCACTTCGTGATCATGTACATAGATGATATCCACATCTACTCTTGGAACCTGCCCAAACATCGCCACCACTTGAAACCTGTCCTCCAAGGACTGAGGAAACACTGAGTTCCACTGAGACAAGATCCAGTTCTTCGGGTATGTCATTGACCATCATGGCATCCGCATGGACCAGAGGAAAGGTGCAGGCTGTCAGGGACTGGCCTCAACCCACTACCATCAAAGAACTCCAAAGATTCCTAGGATTTGCCAATTTCTATTGTCGCTTCATTGTTAACTTCAGCCAAATCTGTGCATTAATCACCTCCCTCCTGAAAAAAAGGCCCATGTCCTTATTAGTTTTGAGGTCATTACTGATCACCAAAACTTGAAATACCTCCGTGATGCCAAACATCTTAACCCCAGACAAGCCTGCTAGGCCCCGTTCTTCACCCGATTCAATTTCATTGCCACCAGCCTGGATCCAAGAACCAATGGGCTGATGCGCTGTCCTGTATCCACCACTCTGATTAGAGCATCTCACCTCCTGAACCTATCCTCCCTCCAGCCATTATAGTGAGTCCCATTCAATGGTCCATAGATCAAATCTCCGAGGCTACTCGCTCAAAACCTGGTCAGACGGGAGGTCCAGCAGGGAGAATTTATGTACCAACACCTCTGCGGCTGACCCTTCTGGATTCAGTTCACACCTCTCCGGGATCTGGACACCCAGGCAGCCAGCAAACCCTCTCGCTTCTCCAGAACGGCTGTTGGTGGCCCAACATGACCAGGATGTCTCCTGGTATGTTAGGAGCTGCTCAGTCTGTGCCATCTCCAAAACTCCTCGCCGTCTCCCTG